TTGAATTAAAAAAACTTGAGTGAGACAAAAAAACGGCAAGGGTTGTATTTGAACTGCAGATCTCACATCTATGAACCCAGCCAGCTAACAGAGTCAGCTCCAATGTGGCTCAAATATAATGACATGGACCAATTTCCTGCATCAGCCTTCAGTTTGCCTCTCGTGCATCAAGTCTGGATACAAACCGATCCCTTTTGACCGCAGAGGAATAGAGAGGTGCAGGAATGAGTCCTAAAACCTGGAAATTAATCAGCAGTTTCAGGTTCAGTCGATGGTTTTTTTGTCTTTGGTTCGAAGCGTGAAATAAGCTCTGTGATTAAAACGAGCTGAAGAGATTTTGAACCAAAATACGTCAACCCTCCTGCTCCACTTTATTAAACCCACCATTGTGCTCTCTACCTTCACTGTGGAAGATGCACTAATCTGTGAGAAACGGCTTGAAGCTTTTCTGCCTCTTCCAAAAAACAATTCCTTAAAGGAAGATGCAGCTTGGCCTGTTCTGAAGATTGCCCTAATCCTCTTTGTGCTGTCAAGTGATTTCTTGCAGTGTACAATTAAAGACAAATCAGCCAAAGCTACACTAATCCAGGATGCGATGAATCTCAATACTTATAGTTTGATCTTCTTTCCATCGTCACTGAATGAAGGAACTCTGCTCAAACTCGACAGTTGCTTTTGTCTGAAATAAAATGACTAAGTTGTTGCAGGGCTTGTGATCCAAGCAGCCGCCTTGCTTGCAATTTAAAATAATTAACTTGTATCAAACGTTACGCATCATCAACATTTAAAAAGGTAGAAAGTATTAAGGGTCTAAAACTAAACTGCAGGTCGCTGAACTCAAGGATTACAAAACATTTACTCGGAGGATTCGTAGTGCTTTAAAAACATTTAATTATTTCTGAACCTCTACAGCTCAGCGGTCTAACCATTCATTAAAGTAATTACACGATGAAAAGCATTTGTGCATTTTGCTATTTCAGTGAGTGTTGAATCATGAGACTGAATATATCTCCACTTTTAAAGGAGGGGTATTTCCCTTAATGAATCGCATTTAAAACAAAAACAATTGTATTTAATTATTTTATTCTCTTCTTACTCAATTTGTTATTCGTTTTCCAAGACGCCAACACAATACCGTCTGTTATGAGTTTACTAAACCACGTCATACACTGAAGAAACTGAAACGTTGACTTTAACTAAATGTATTATATCATCACATTTCACATAACTGTATTAGGTTAGATGAAAGAAATACTATTAAGTTAAAATAGGTTCAACTTCATATTTTTTGCTTTCAACTAACCTAATAGAGTTATGTGAAATGTACCACTGAGAATGTCGATTCAAATTGGAATATCTCGGGCTACGAGGAGGGCGTCCATATGGGACCTGTTCTGGGTGATAGCTAGGGTTAGGTTATTGAATTAGGGTTAGGTTATTGAATTAGTGTTAGGTTATTGAATTAGGGTTAGGCTTAGGTTATTGAATTAGGGTTAGGTTATTGAATTAGGGTTAGGTTATTGAATTAGGGTTAGGGTTAGGTTATTGAATTAGGGTTAGGGTTAGGTTATTGAATTAGGGTTAGGTTATTGAATTAGGGTTAGGTTATTGAATTAGGGTTAGGTTATTGAATTAGTGTTAGGTTATTGAATTAGTGTTAGGTTATTGAATTAGGGTTAGGCTTAGGTTATTGAATTAGGGTTAGGTTATTGAATTAGGGTTAGGGTTAGGTTATTGAATTAGGGTTAGGCTTAGGTTATTGAATTAGGGTTAGGTTATTGAATTAGGGTTAGGTTATTGAATTAGGGTTAGGGTTAGGTTATTGAATTAGGGTTAGGCTTAGGTTATTGAATTAGGGTTAGGTTATTGAATTAGGGTTAGGGTTAGGTTATTGAATTAGGGTTAGGGTTAGGTTATTGAATTAGGGTTAGGTTATTGAATTAGGGTTAGGTTATTGAATTAGGGTTAGGTTATTGAATTAGTGTTAGGTTATTGAATTAGGGTTAGGGTTAGGATTAGGTTATTGAATTAGGGTTAGGTTATTGAATTAGGGTTAGGGTTAGGTTATTGAATTAGGGTTAGGTTATTGAATTAGGGTTAGGGTTAGGTTATTGAATTAGGGTTAGGTTATTGAATTAGGGTTAGGTTATTGAATTATGGCTAGGGTTAGTTTAAGGGGCTATTTACCACCGGTAATGCCGTGTACAATGTGATTATTTTGGGCTACGAGGTGGGAAAGTGTAATGGCGGGGGTTAAAAGTTAAGTTATGGAAGTCCATCCAATAGCTGTTGAGATGTTTCACCTGAAAACCAAAATGGTCAGCGCTAAGAGGATGCGATTTTAATGTGTAATGGATATAATGTGATAACTATGATCTTATTTGCACCCCCAGGTTTTTATCTGTTTTACTGGATTATTGCATTGTCATTAAACCTGTAGATCAAAAAGCTCTAACGTTCGTAAACTTGACATGGGCCTCTAAATATTTTTAAATGAGCGTCAGGTGTATACACTAACTCCAAACACCAGAGAGGACCGACATCAGTAACAGTGATCGTTCTTCTCTTAACTAATACGGACACATAATTAATTACCTTTATTTTGTAAATAACGTCCTGCACTGAGCTTCTCTGTGTTAGGGCATTTATATTTCACACATACTTTATTTACTATATACGCTACCCTCACAAAATGGCCAAGAATGCACCGCGATTCCCATTCCTATTGCAGCGTCAGATCATAAAACCGTTTTATTTTTGTAGATAATGTGACAAAATACCCCTACTTTAAAACATGCATTGGTTTTGATTGGCTTGAGGCGTCATCTACCCGCGACTGACTGACTATGGTTGAGGCGTGGTGGCTTGCGAGGAACTATTCCAGGTGAATTTGCCCTCATACGTTTCAGGGGGAATAATTCGAGAACCTGGTCCGCCTCGACCTAACATGGTCATTTCGCAGGAGTCAGGGTACAGCAGAAACCCAGAAAAAATGCTGATGTAATCATCGCCGGCTATCACGCCGTTGAAGTTTTCGTCCTTCACCTGCAGCCACACTTTGTTCCCCACCAAGAGGTGCAAGACGACGGTCATCGTGGCGGTGGACAGGTTGTTCACTTCAGTCACCATTGCCATACGATCGAAGTTTTTGTACAAGCCGACAACGGCGGGCTTCCCGGAGACGGCCAAGCTGAAGCTGAAGACGAAGGTGCCGTTGACGGGCGCCGTGTACATTCCCATCTCTGGGTTGAAGTGGCCCTGCTGGTTGAGGATGACTCGATTGAAAATAATGGGCCAGTTTGGAGGAGGATAGGGGCTGTCCAGAGCGGCGGAGAATGAAGATTTAATGGGCGTTGAGCATGGCCCGGGGACCCCCCTCACACCCAGGTCGCCCTTGTTGCCCTTAAGCCCCATGGAGCCTTTGTCACCCTGGGCACCATTGTCCCCTTTGTCCCCATTGAACCCTTGATATCCTGGAAGTCCATTTGTGCCGTTTATCCCATCGGTGCAGTTACACATCCCCTGCTCACCTTGATCCCCCTTCAGGCCGTCCATGCCGGGGTTTCCAGGGGTTCCCAGGTCCCCCTTAGGGCCATTCATACCTTTCTGTCCCATCGGTCCCTGGACCCCAGGAAGACCTCGAGCTCCGGCTGGTCCTGAGGAGCCTTGTAGACCCGGTGGACCCGGCACACTTTCACAGGATGCGGGACAAATACCGTCTTCTCCCTGACGTCCCAAGGGTCCTGGGGGGCCTTCAGATCCGAAGTCCCCTTTGTCTCCTAGAGACACAATAAGGACACATGCATTAGGGCTGCTCTATTAGGGGACAAATAACTAATTGCAATTAAGATATGATTTACGAAATATGGAATATGGAAGATGGTATGATCATGAAACAAAATGTACATTAACATGATGTAATTGAGTATATATAGACCTCTCTGCAGCTACACAACACACATTTTGAATAATGTGCAGCCCTAATATGAATGACATTTACAAATGTCTTTGTGAACCCAACCAAAGTTTAGCTATAGCAAAATGGGAATGTGACGTCATCTACTCCCAGTATATGTACTGGAAGATTAATTACGCTGTTTTGTTAGCATAACATTAGTTGTCTAACCTCTGTCCGGATGACTCTTTAGTCAATGAACCTGTAGATCTGAAGGTCCTGTACCCCTGTTTGTAAACCTGACATGGTTTCCTATTGCAGTGTCAGATCATAAAACCGTTATATTTTATTTCATTCGAGTCATGACTTCCATTTAGCATAATCTGTACAGTGATCTCTGCAGACCTTTGTAGCCTCGTGAGCCTTTCATCCCGGAGAGTCCGGTGCCGCCACTGTGACCCTTCTCCCCCAGGTCTCCCTTCTGACCTAAAACCACAGACAAAGACAGGACAAATATTACAAAACAGCAACAGGGTAAGGATGAAAAACAGGACAGAACAGATTCACACAAGATTAATGCAATTCAAGAGAAAATCAAAGATAAAAATGTGTAAACATGGAGTCCAATTATCTTATTTTATTATCAAGCTTTATATTTACTTTTGCACTAATGTGTGACCAGCATGTTGCAGATGATTTTATATTGTAACCTGGAGGGAACACAGGGATTGTAGCCTCTGCAGACAATTTACATGCACTAAAACATATAGAACTACAGGAGAGGGAAAAGCCAAAAAGCAGAATAAGGACTCTTTATTATTTGGGATAATATAGGCACAGCTTAGCATCAGTCTAGCTTAGCATCAGTCTAGCTGTTTAATCCAGAAATGGTACGTATTAAACGTTTTAATGTAACGTGCTATTGTGTCCACAGGATTGTGACGAGTCAGAGCTAGCATGTAGCTGTACATGCCAACGCCTGAGGCCGGTGTGTTTGAAGTGAAGTCTAGCATGTTGAACTCACCCTTGATCCCCTGAACGCCGGTGAATCCTCGCGGCCCGGTGAAGCCCATCATCCCTCTCATCCCGGGACTCCCAGGAGTTCCTGACAGGGATCACACACAGGTATTCATTTTAAGGCCCTGACACACCAAGCTGACCCCAAAGAACACGTCCCGACGGACACGGCTGTTGTGTCGCCTCACGTCTCTGCGTCTTGGCCGCAAAGAACACACCGCAAAGACTTCAGCCGACGGCCAAGTAGCACGTACGAACAGCGAATGCGTGAGTGGCAATAACTCTCCTTACCAGCAGGTGGCGGTAGTGTGTATTCGTCATTCAAGAGAGGCAACAACCCGAAGACAGACTGCGTGATAACCGAGAGAAGAAGAACAGACTGCGTGATATAAACAAACAACAAATAGCGTGTGCGTTCCATTTTCACTCTCGTCCATCACAGACTGTTTCACATAGCGACTTATAATCGAAAACATTTTTAATGCGGTACTGGCAGTATCAGCCCCTGGACTGTTGCTTGCGGAAGCAGATAGCAAGATAGCACTTCCGTTTAGCTTCTCACGCACTGATTCGCTAAGCTGAACAGCCAATCAGAGTGATTTATTTTGTCGACAGCCTCCGCTCCCGATTCAACTTGTTCAATCGGGAGCGGAAGTGTCGGCACGGCCGAAAAGACACGACGGTGCGGGACACATCAATCTGAGTAGGGCGACAGGACGCTCATCGATGGCCAGACATCTATCGACGGCCGAAATCGGCTTGGTGTGTCGGGGCCTTTAAAGTCAAACTACAAACCCTTCAGTGACTTTTGTATCATGTTTTCTATTAAGCATTAGCATATAATGTATATAGTAGAAATAATTTTAAAATATTTTCAGAGTGTAAACCAAGGACCCCTTTTTGAAGAACCATGACTTGCAAGCAACCAAATAAAATAAAAATATACTATATACTTATATGTTAGGGGTGGGGGAAATAATTGATACAGCATAGTATCGCGATACTTTGCGTGGCGATATTGTATCGATACACGGACGCCAAGTATCAATATTTTATTGTATAAACTTTTGTATTCTTTTTTTAAATATAAACTGTAGCATATCCCTACGAACGATGGTCGTACATAAAACAGGAAGTTACGTTAAGACATGTATACAATTGCAATGAAAGTAACAAAAACAATGCCATCTCCTTTTCAGGTTCAAACAACACACAGTCTGCAGAACCTAACAGGGAAAGGGCATAAAATAACAACGCAGCCGGAGAGCAATAACAGTGGAACCTTATAAAAGGGACCAGCGGAAATAGCAGCTATCTTTAATAACCATTTTGTTAATTATGTGAGGCTGACTATAAACAGTCCCCTAACTGGTCATATATACTCATCACCTATTGATAGTACAGCCAGTCAGAGACCCTGACCCTGACAGAGACTTTTGAATCCAAAGTTAATTCTATAATTTCTAAAAATTCCAAATCAAAAGACACTTTTGGACTGGATTCTCTGTTTCTAAAGAAACATGCTACCACTCTCACAGGGACAATTACTAAAATAATGAACACCTATTTTAGGAAAACTCCCAAAAGACTGGAAGTTAGCCATTGTTGTGCCAGTCCACAAATCCGTGGACACAACTGATGCAAAAGCTATAGGCCCAGTGGCGACTGGTCATTAGGGGCAGGTGGGGCACAGCCCCACCTAGTGTCAGCATATAGTATTAAAATAATGATTACAACAAAATGCAAAAAATAAATTAAAATATATATGAAATATATTTTAAGATCATGTTTAATCATCTGATTCGTCTCATTGCTGTTTTAGTCTGTGTTCTTCTAATTAGTGTCTACAGTGTGTGCCTATTGAGCTGTTTAGAGCCATGTGGGACAAAACCCGATCCTGCCCCTCCCTCTCACTGTCTAACTGAACGGTGACTGTAAAAACTACACTGCGCATGCTCAGAGTATTTTCCTATTTAATGTGTGTGGCAAAAAATAATGACCATAGGGGCATAGAGCTGCCATCCCCACCATACGTCATCTCACATCATTCAGAGCTGATTGGCTGCATTGTAAGTACGTGTGCCGCGAAAAGTGTGGTGTGTGAAGAGGAGACGAGAGAGACGCGTCCTAAAACCAGGAAGTAAGCTGCGCATGGCTTCCCTCCACAAAAAAGCAATGATATTTCTCCATAGGATTTTAGAAAATAGCTCAAAATAAGATCTGTGGGAAACAAACCTGTTAGATAAATGCACGTTTTGTTCAGCCGGATAATATCCACATGTCTACCCTACTTTTATAATTTTCGAATCATAAATGTATTGATTAGATTAGATTTATGATAGACTTTTGAAACTACAAGAACATAAGGAGGACTTTTACAAAAAAGTAATAGATATTTTTGTCCAGAAGGATAGGCAAATGGACTTCATCTTCAAGTCAAGGTAAGACTGCAATTTTATTGAAAATGGGATCTTAGAACAATTCAATATTTAAATGATAAAATTACATTTTTTGGGTATCCTTCTGTTGAACTGTCTGTTTAAAATTAATTGAAGCATCAGAAAAAAAAAGCTTTTGAAAATAATATTATATTTTGATTTAGGTCAAAATATAATATTTGTAAACCTGAAGAGTCAGTGCCAGTGCCTCACAAGCCACGAACCTCACTGCAGAAGCTTAGACATCTACATTTTGTGTGCCCCACCACTTGTGTACATATAGAAACGCCACTGTATAGGCCATGGGCGTAGGAAGCATCCTGAATATGGGGGGACATTTTTAACGGGGGGTGTGTGGGTCGCCCCCCACGAAAAAAAAATAGATTTCCTGTATTCTGGTGCACTTTAACAGGTGGTTTGATACTTCTTTGTGGCTATACTAGCATGAGGAAAATGATGGGTACATTTTGTAATTTCATCCAGTAGTAAAGAAAGGAAACATATTTGATTATTAATTCAGAGCCGTCTTTGAATTAATAAAAAGCAGTTTAAATGCCCATTTGGTACATTTATATGCAACAATAAATATTTGTGAGTGCATTGAGAGATATTGTTGTGGAGAGTCATTTATATATAAATCGCAAAATACATTTGTGAATCCTTCTGTGAGCATTTATTAATATTGAGACTGATCTGACTCCATACAGATGTTAAGTTCACCTAGGAATGGTATCATTGACTTCAATGTTCAAATAAATGTTGCTCTTCCGTCTATATTCGTCATATGATGCCCCTTGACTATAATACTACAGTTATTACCGGGGATAACTGTAGGCTATTTTTATTATATGTACAGCACTTTGGCTCGACCAAAAATCGTTTATAAATGTGCTATATAAATAAAACTTGATTTGATTTGATTTGAAATGTTTCCTGTTTAATATCCCCACTGATTTCCTTAACACTCTGGGATGAGAGTCCACATCACAATTGACTCTAAACTGTCATTTCCCTTTCATCACTCACCTCAGCAACGGACCTCTCTCCACTGTCCCTGTGTTCTGCCTCTGACTCACTCTCAAGCGCCTAGATGTCAAGAGAGGTGGTGAAGTGATCATTATTTATTGAGCAGTATACTCTTTCACATTGAATCATAACAAGTCATACTGAATGAAATACAACTGACTCTAAAGTAAGTCCCAGTCTGTGACATTGGACATTTTGAAGACTCAAACTCCCAAGCAGTAGGTAGAATATTAGCTAGTCTATGTAATGTGCACAGAAAATAAACAGTTAACTGAATACTGGGATGGAAATGGCCTATAAGCACTCAGTAAAACATAAACACACAAAAAGCTTCTGAATGATAAGAAGTATAATTAAAATATAATGCACATTACCATTTTGAGAGAGAGTACCTAAGAACTCAGAAAATAATCTCTTATCGAACTGAGGCTCCAGTAAAACACACTGACATCAAGCCCCCAGGAAGTGTATTTTCATCTGAGTCCGGCGCACTTCCTGCGCCGGACTCAGATGAAAATATTCGTGCTGGCCAAACGGCGGTACTACACTTCCGTTTGGTTGCCAGGCCCGGAAACACTTTTTCCCATTGACTTACGTGGGGAAAGAGTCGTCTGTAAATCGTTGGATAATTTTTTTTAAACTAAATAAACTACCCAGTATGAACACTTGTATAGCCCTTATTAAAAACATTCGTTCCTCAAGTTGTAATAATGTGCTAATAACGTTATTCTGAGAGTTATTTCCCTCTGCATTATGAACACGCATCTAACCCACGGGACCGCGCCGCCCGGCACGTTCATGTTACGTGTCCCGACCAATCAGAGCACACTGTGCTCACAGGGAGGGTGGGGGCTGGAGCTATTGGAGCTACAACGAGCCGTTAAAGGCAGAGAGTGAAATTCAGTGAATACACGTAGTTTACAGAGATGCTGTTTGAGAAACCAATGTGAGTTGCGTTGATCTTTACCCATGGATGCACAATAAGAACGGATCCATATCGTCTCACTGCCATCCCACGGAGCTGTAATAATGGCTATATTGCACATGTTTGCTGTAATTCATTATCATACTACATGGGCTACTACATACTACATCTTGTACCGTAAATGTTGTATTAAATAAAGTTAATATTACTTATTATTACTGTGTATATATATATATATATACACAGTAATAATTATTTCATGCTAAATGAAGCTCTGTTGGATATCACTAGATCCTGTTACAGCGTAATATAAGTACATACCGATTGATGTTACATTAGCATCATTACTAGCTAGCCGCTAGCTGCTAACTGCCGCCTCGTTAATATCAAATCCATCATAATAACAATCCATTACCATGCTGTCATGAACGCGCGGTGCTGTTACGTGTACGCAAATTGACGTGCTCGATGTGAACGAGCATTTTGGTTAAAGTTGCACATGCTTTATGAGTGCACATACGGGTACTTCTCAGGCATGCCGGGTAATCTGTGACGTTTCACTCTCTCAAAAGTTGGGCCATTTTATCATCATGCGCTAATGAGCAACTCTCATAGGAATGAATGAGACCCGCCTCCCACGCTGTATCCAGTTCTTATTATACATCCATGATCTACATGGACATCATGGTGTTTACATGA